CCCCGTCCGGGGCCGCCCGGGCCCGGCCGTCCCCCCCCCAGCATCCTCGGCCGTGGCTCTGCTCCAGCAGCCAACACACGGGATTGAAATGACCTTGAAAGCCGGGAACAAGGGCAGCTCGCTGGATCCCGCCCGGGCTCACTCTGACCGAGGCAGCCCAGCCGCAAGTGCTTCCCTCCGGCTCTGATACTCGTTTGTGGTTTTTTTTTTTGGGGGGGGGAGGCGAAATCCCTGGCTCACTCTCTCCTCCCTCCACCACACACTTCCCCCTCACTTGTGCTGGCAGCAGGGAAGGGATCCAGTGAAAATCAAACGCCGCCAGAGGGGCTTGCGCCGGACCATTTCCAGGCCGGATCCCAGCACTGCGTAAGGGAAGGGAGATGCCGATCCATGGGGAGGGAGAAGCACCAGGCTTTGCCTGGCAAAGCTGCAGCCGGGAGGCGAGCCGGGAGTCCCAAGGACCCTGCACGGGCTGGGGAGGGGTGTGTCAACCCCGGTGCATTGGTCTGGGGTCCTCAGGTCGCCAGCAACATTTTCCCTTTGCCAGGGACTCCTGTCCCCACCTGCTCTGCCTCATCTCAGGGGCTCTGTGCTCCAACTGTTCTTGGGGAACAGTGGGGAACTGTGGGGAACTACACTACCTGTAGTTCGGGACACTTGGGATGGTGGTTTCCCCACAGGAGCCTCTTCCTGCTAAAAAAATTCCTTGAGGAGGGTGATGGTGTGAGCTGCTGGAAAGTTTTCCTCCCCGTGCTGGTGCTGGAAGTGGCTCTTGGCAGGGACATGTCCCTGTCAGCTGTGCCTGGAGCCCAAACTTATCTTATTGCCTGCTCCCAAACCCCGGATCTCCATCCCTGCTGCATCTGGGAGCTGGGACGGAGCAAGATCTGGAGAGGGGAGACAAGGGAGCCGCTGTGATGTCTTCACTGGGGCTGAGAATGCTCCTCACAGCCTGCACACCCTCCCTGGAGCCCCCAGTGTCTGGGGACCATCTGACCCAGGGCTTGTCCCTGGCAGTGACCGTAAGAGGGAGGGAAAATGGGGACAGGACTGTGCACTGCTTCCAAGTGCTCTCCAGCCTCTGGCTCTTCTCATTTTAGGGGTTTTCTGTGTGCTTGGTGACCTCGCCTCGAGCAGGGTGTGCCTCTCCCTGTCCCCTGTGTGGTGCCCCTTGGCGTCAGCCCTGGTTAGGGCTAAATCCTCTTGCCCGGATTAAGCAACACAACTGCTTGGGGATTTAAGGGATGAGGTGAGGGAAGCCAGAGCAGGCTGAGCTCCAGAGAGAGAGGCTCTGGAGTGGGTTGGAGCCCCTTTTCCAGCAGGGGGGATGAAGGCTTCCACGTCTCCATGGTACGAGTTTTGGCTTGAGGGCAGCATGGCATCACCTGGCAGAGGGTGTCTGCAGTGCAGGGCTGCCTGTCCTGAAGGCACGGGGTGTCTGAGGAAACAGGCAGGGGAAAAAACCTTTTGGTGCAATGCCCAGGGATGTTGTTTTGGTGCTTCTTGTTGGTACAGTCTCCCTTCCTTTCCAGACACATCCTTTGACCTGAGCTGCTTCTAAAAACCCCCTCAACCTTGGTGTGTTCATCCCGTCCCTGCAATGCTCGGGCTTTGGGGTCACGCTGGCAGTCGTTTGCTTTGCAGACGCTGGCTGCGGGGATCCAGGAGCTGTTTCCCAGCCCGGTCCTAACCCCACGGCACCGGGGACTTGTGTTCTGCAGCCCCGCGTACGTGCTGCATCTTGAGGGAGCGTCCCCCATGCCTCTGGCTGGGATTCAGAACATTTTGGTCAGGCCCTCGAGGCTTTGGGAACATGGGGGCTCACATGTCTTTGACTCTCAGGCTGTTTGGGTGAGGGGTGTCGGGGTGCAGCACCCCTGTCCTGGCTCTCCCTGAGTCAGCAGGGGATTATTTAGATGGGTTTCTCTTCGGACAAGCCCCTTGGAGCAGGAGCAGTGTGTGTGTAGGGGAGCACAGGGCAACAAAAGAGCTTCTCTCTTGATTTAGGAAGCCATCTGGGATGGCTTCTCTCCCTGGGCTCTGCCGCAGCACCACGGCATCGTCTCTGCGGGCATCGGGATGCGCTCCAGCTCCGTGCTCATCCTGTCTGCTGCTGTCCTGCCTGTCCCCCACCTGCTCTGGCACCTCCCCGTTGATGCCAGCCTTTTTCCCTTGAATAATTCCCTCCCCGTAGGTGTGGTGGCTGTGTGCCAGTTCTGCCATGCCTCTGGAGCCCGTGGGTCACTGCCCCGGCATCAGTCCCTTGGGATTGCGCTCTGCTTTGGCTCTAGGTGCTGGTTGTGGTTTGCTGAGGGTGGAAGCGTCACCTTTCTGGCCTGCTGGGTGATAACCTTTCCTGCGCAGCGCTGGAAGTGTGTTTACTTTACCTGTCTCGGCTGATAAGCACCTCTGATAAAACTCATGATAGTAAATAGCAGGCTTTAAACGAGAGGGGAGCAATTAAAGGAGGGAGGTGGTGCCTTCGGCATGGGCTCTGCCCTGGGAAGATGGTGTTTTCCCGACCTGGAGGAACAGACCCTGGCCATCTCTGGCCAAAATCTCCATCTCTGCAGGGAGTTTTGTAGACCTGTGACTTTTCCCATCCCAGCCTCCACCTCTTGAGGAGGAGAGGCTCTGCTTTGGAGGGTGTTATCCGAGGCAGCAGGGAGGGAGCCGCTGCTCCTTGGCCACTCAATAGAGCACGCTGGGGAGTTCCTGGCAAGAAATGCCCCCTTTTTTTTTTTTTTCCACGTGACTTGAGAAATCACAGAAATATTCTGTCTGTCCTTGAGTGGCAGAGATATGAACGTCTCTGTGCAGACGGGGATTGAAGGGAATGGATTTACAGCTCCAAAACACCTCTGTCCCCTCTCTCCCTTCCCCTTGGGGGCTAATGGGCTTCTCCCTGCAGTGCCAAACCGATGCATGAAAAAGCAGCTCCCCTGAAGAGCCCTGAGCCCATGCACGGACGTGAGAAACTGGAAGCATCGCACAAGGAGAAGAGTTTGGATTCCCTCGATGGCAGGTGAGGGGCAGCGTTGCTGTGGGGTTCCGGGGTCTGCGGTTCAGTATTTGCTCTTTTTCCTCTTTCCACCTCCTGCAGCATCCCTGCTGCCTCCAAGCCCCCAAATGAAGCCACCCGCCAGCTGGGAGTGGGCACAGGGGGTCTCCTCTTTGGTTTCATCCTCAATATTTGGTCTATAAAAGC